TTTTGTGATAATAAGTTGACTTTGAGAAAGCCTTGCATCATTGGAAGCAGAGTAAAGAGAGGAGAATTTATGAACTCAAAGACTGAACCATGGGATGAAATCAGAACCTATTTCTCAGCAAATCTTGTATGCCTGAATAATTTAAAATTTTGCAGCATTTGTTCATAAGAAATAAAACTATTATCAATTAGAGATGAAAGTCCTCCGGGTTTTCCCGGAATTCCGGGTTTTTCACATTTTTATGAAAATCTCTCCGGAGAATTGAGGAAAATTTGCCTAAAATTAATCCGGATATTAGTTAACAACATTGAACGAAGACGCGTTTGAGTTCGTTGTTTTGCTTTCACGAGCGTAGCCATGTTGAAACACTAACACTAGTAACTAAGTAGAGATTTTCGTCTCTTTATCAACACATTTGCTAAACCCCAGTGGAACGAACAAAAGACACCGTGGACAAGACAGTTGTCGTAAAAAATATATTTGGACAAAAAGGGAAACACACAGATTGGCAGAAAAACGTGTCCGTCCGACTTCGAGTGTCGTCTCGGTTAGCTTAGCTGTTGTTGTGTGTGACGCTTGGGTGTGTGACGTCGTTGCGTCGGCGCTTATTGGTTGAAATCAAAAGACGCGCTTGCGTACATGTTCGCGCTGACGCATGCATAGTAGAGAGCAGCGGACTAGCTCAAGTGGCGTCGACAACAGGAAAATACCCTCGCCTCGCATTCTCATGGCCTCGCCATATCTCTGAGATTTCGAAATTTTGGCGAGAACGGAAACCACAAAGGGTGCAGAGCCCGATCACTTAACTTGATTTGCAGGCCCGAGCCCGAAGCAAACCCGAGATTTCATATTTTATTTGTGAGGACTCGGGAGGAGGAGGGGTGATTTCTGAAAACAAAGCCTGTCTTTTGGAACGAAATCTAAGTTAAACAAGACTGGATAAACATTTACATATTTTATATTTCTGTTCCTGAAGAGGTTACATTAGCGGACAATTTTCCATCATTGACGGATTTTTTTT